TGCCACTTATATGTGTTTTTAAATTTTGATAAAGCAAAGCATCTATTCATGTCTTTGCTGTACTATAGGAAAAAATACTGTATCATTCTCTATACAACATGGACAATAGGTTCCTCTTTTCTACAGAATAGGGAAAAGACTTTGCATCCTCACCAACAGAGAAATTGTTTGTTCAAGAAAAACATGTGGATAGTAGCAGAACTAATGTCTGGCTGGAAGAATACAGACTTAGGTAAACTTGGCAACGGGACAAAGGAAAGGACTGCGTAAAGGCCAAGTCAACAGAATAATTCTTGTGGCCTCAATATAGGTGATAGTAGGAGCAAAGCCTTCCCAAAGAAAGAAGAGAGATAGGCAAATGCAAAGGCAGAAAGCCCACCCCACAAAAAAAACCCAACTCCAAACAAACAAAAAAGGACAGGTGAGTTTTTCCCTTACCATAACATGTATTCTTATTATACTGAAATTGCAATAGCAATATAGCTGTAGCTATTTATTATAGCATGAAGGGCTTAGTCAAAACCAAGCATCACAGGTAGCACAACCCTGATGAACACCCAGCCTCATAGAGCTGACTTGTTATTTTCCAGTGAATAATAAAGGGCTTAGATAGGACATTTATTATGCCATTATCAGAGCAAGGTGCCAAAACAAGAGCTGTATCTAGTTTTGGGTGCTTTTCTGTAAAATGTCTGATGTTGAAGGTGACTCAAAACACTACACAACCAATCAACATTGTATTAGGGTATTTGGAAAATCTAAAATATGAGAAGTGTCTACTTAGTTTAAAAAATAGAGGTGATTTTAAAAACTGGAGGTGATTATTTTTTTTGTTTCACACTCAAAGGATAAATTAACATTCTGAAAACTATTTTGTGGAGGATTCACAATTGTATAAGGTCTTAGAAGGCTAAGTTTTGTGAAGTAGCTGGTGCCATGGATATGAGTTGATTTGAAATACCATTGCCTTGTGAACCTAGCTGTCTGTTCTTGTTTTCGTGTGCTTGATTAGAATGACTGCCTGACTTGGACCAGGTGGGAATTCTGCCTAACTGTTGTATATTCATAGCATTTTTTAGAGATTTTTCGCCTGGGGAATTGAGCAGAGAATTATCTGTTTAGGTCTACATGAATATGTATTCCACATCATCATCATATGCATCAATCATGAGGTCAGAAACACAGGTTGTGGTAGGAAGGACGAGCCATTTCTTCCTTTTCAGGACTTTCCTAAATCTGTTATTTATAGTACAGAACAATTTTGTTATATGTTTGCTGTACCTTTTCATTTACCTTGTCTTTAACCTTGGCCCTATTAAAAAAAAGAAATGGAAGTCCTTGTCCCTAGGAGCCTACACTTTTAGTGTAGATACAGACAAAATCAGATATTTCTACAACGTCTCATAAAAAACACTCTTCTTCATTAACTGCATCACTATTACAGACTAATACAGCAATAGATGCTAAGCGAAACATTTCTAATGATGCCACACATATTAAAATACATCATCTGCATCTCATTGTGATTTTAGTGGCATAGCAGAAAAAATGAAAGCAGTGGTGGCATAGGCACCAGGAAAGTAGCACAGTTACCATTAAGTAGCACAGTTCTGCCAGCTTTCTTGTGTACTTGTGATTGGTAGCTACACCCCTTTGCAGCTGGAATAAGCCTTAAAAGCCAAAAAAGAACATGTAGCTGCTGAGAATCAGTAAGGCCTCAATGTTTACATATAAACGTAATTCCTGAAAACACATCAAAATCTGGAAATATGGGTCTGTCTACTGATTCTATGTCTCTTTTTAGTTTTTACCCTCTTTTTTTTTTCATTCTCTCGTAAGTGTTTGTAGGAGAGGAAACGTTCATTACCAGTGGTATTTCCTTAATTAGAAATAGAATTGATTATGTCCATTTAGGTAAATCCCTTTCCTTCCTATTTCACTCTGTGGCTGTATGCAGTCCAGGCCTTATTGCATTTTGGCTGCTCCAGCACATCTCCCCCCAGTAAAGGAAGCCATGAAGTCATTCTTTTTGTCACTTTGGGAAGAAGAGCCCAGTATGTGCAAAGGATCATATGGGTTTTTTTAATTGCAGAAGTAGTCCCAGACTGCAAAGTTTGCATCCCAGCTTTCTCCGCTTTTGGTGTTATTCATGTCTGAGCCATTTACAAAAATAGTCACACTCTTCAGGACCAGATTTCAATCTTTCATCCCTGGCATATGGGAATTCAAGTCAAGCTCCTTTGCTGTTACTTTAGAAAAACAAGTTCAGTTTCCTCATATCCTTGCTCTTAACAGGCCACCTGCACTTCAAGTGTGCCGAATTTCACTTTGGAGGGGGAGTAGATAACCTCTTGTAGCTTTGCAGCGACATCTCGTGGCGCCACCGACCTGGAAACGTATCAGAGATTCCTCTTCCAAGGTGGAGAAGGTCTCATGTGGATTAAGTCAAATATTTCATACAATGAGGAGGTAGGATGCCATTTGAAAACCAATTCATTAACTGTGTTTAATTAGATAAGTGACATCATTGTCAACATGATCATCAATTGTACAAAACCAAAAAGTTAGAAATTGTTTCAGATGCTAAACAGAATTGGTGTCTCCAATTTTTTTAAAATTTTAACAAGCATTTTTACTATATAAAAATATTTTCTTTTTCCCTCATGATACATGAACAATCTACATTAAAAAAAAATCACAATAGTTAAATCTACTGGAAAAGTAAAGTAAAACATTTTTTCTGGTGTAATTAATCTGAGATGTTATGTGTTAAAATAACTGGTAAAAGCATTTTAAACAGAGTATGATTTTTTACATTGACAATTATGTTTCATCCAAAATCTGAAAAAATAAACATTTACATTACCAAATTCAACATAAAACTCTCTAAGCTGCCTTACTAAGTTTTAAAGCCATGAAAAAAATGTAGAGAAGTTAATGAAGAGAACAGAGGTTAACGCTTTTTGAAATTAACTGAGACAAAGTGAACAGCAAACTAATTGCCAGGCCAAGATTAATATTGCTGTTGTACATCTTTTAAACAGTCTTATGGAGTTACATTTAAACTTTCCAGCTTCAGGTTATAATTTTGCTTTTTTTGAACACTATTGAGTATTCAGTAAATAGTCCCTTATATGAAAAATACCCACAGATGATGCATAAGATGTAATCCAAACTCTTGGGAAAGACTGCCATTATTTCACCAGATCACAGATGTAAAGGACAGCACTTCACTTAGGAGGGGATTACTTCAGGGTCTGTCTGCAACTTCAGAGTATTTTGCTGCATAGCATACCACGCTTTTGCATTGGGCCTTACTGGATTTTATCAATTAACCCTAAAATAGTACACTCCAGTTACAGTATTTAGAGATATATGCACAGAGCCCAAAACTGCCGTAACTGGTGTCAGTGGCAGTTTTCAGTGAAAGCAGAATTAGGCTCTACTCCTTTTACAGAAAGACTTTGCTAGTTCAGAAAAGGAGTACTGTAGATATTTGCCCTTCTTCTCAAGGCTGCAAAGTTTGGACAGTATAGGAAGATGAACATCTTAAGTTGCTGTTGCAAACATCTAAGCACGTATTATCTACCGCACAAATATGCCAAATATATAAAATAACTTATCTCAGGCTGAAGTAAAAGAACAGGTGCCCACAGTCTAAAATATGAAAATACTCCCTCTCCTCGTGCGTCTAGACACTCACCGTCTAAACAGCAGTGTCCCTCTTGGCTTTTAAGTACTCGAGGCCACACAAACAGAACTAAGGGGAGAGAATCTAAAGTAGCAATATACAGCAGATCCACAATCAACCCACCCTCAATTTACAGAAATTAATTTTATCAAAAATATTTTTGTGTCCTTTGGCGTAAAGAAGTGTTCTTGCAAGAAGGAGAGTGGAAGATGGCACTGTAGTATACGGACTTCCAAAGCCTAAGTCGAAGACCAGTGTGTGACCAAACCCCTAAAGAGGGAACAAAGCTAATTCGTACAGCAATCATAATAAAATGCTGGGGATTTATCCCTAGCTAAAAACTCTATTTTGTGGTTCTTGTTTGCTGTGAGGTAATGAATCATCAGTAGCAGAAGTGAGGGGAAACCATATTTTTACAGAGAAAAGGGAGGTTTCAGGCTAAAATTGATGGCCTCTTCCAAAATGAAGAACACTGAGCATGCTGCTGAGTGAAGGGCTTTCCATGGCTTGCCCAGGTGAGCTGAGGGGAAGGGTGCTGCGGCAGAGGTTGGCAGGAACCACGTGGCTTTGAGCCTGCTGCCTGCAGGAACGTTACTGTCCCAGTGACTGGTCTTCATGGTGGAGCCTGCTGATGCTTCCTCCTAACCTCAGCTCAGCTCAGCTGTGCGATCACGCTAAGCAAATTCAAACCCCATCGATAAGAATGCCTCAGAATAATTAAAATTGCTGTTACACACACAGTATTTTCATGTCCAGGGTTTAATCCGTGTATCTCATCTATACCCTGTATACCCTTCCCAGGCACTTAGAAAGGCTTAGTTTTAAAATAGCAATGGAATTAAGTTGCTGAGTCTAGGGTGTATTTCTTTATATTCTGCAGGTAATTCCATACTTTCCCAATGAATTCCATATAAATTTTCTGTATAAATTCTGTTCAACAGAAGCAGAAGTCAGCTATGTGTGGAAGCTGT